CAAAAAATACTCAGCAAACCTACACTAGTCAACTATAGTAGTTAACTCAGCAGTGTTGGTGCATAAACAAAAAGGACTCCCTAGAATGCCTCTAAAGGCAGTTGTTTGAACAATGGTGCTCAGAACACACATGGGGGAAAGTTTTCTTAGGAAGTAGTGGTAGAAAACTGCAGATGCAAGAAACTAGACCAGGGCCTGTCAATACTCAGAAAAAAATCAGTTCAGAATGAATCAATTACTGTAACAAGGTTTAACCTATGAAAGAACTAGGAAAGAAGGGGCCTGGGAAGGTGGCTCAGTGGTAGAGTGCTTGCCTTGCATGCATGAGGCCCTGGGTTCGATTCCTCAGCACCACATAAGCAGAAAAGGCTGGAAGGGGGGCTGAGGCTCAAGTGGTAGAGTGCTAATCTACAGCTGGAGAGCTGAGGGACAGCACCCAGGCCCAGAGCTCAGGCCCCATGACCGACCAAAAAAAAAAAAAAAACTAGGAAAGAAGTATCTGAGATCAGCTTCGTGACAGTGGAGAGACAAAGACATTTTGGACAAGACCCCAAAAGGCACAATAAACAAAACCAAAACCACAAATGGGAGCACAACAAACTAGAACGCTTCTGCACTACCAAAGAAATAGTACAAAGATAAATTACATGAAGGAAGGATATGTGAACTATTCATCTGACGAGAAATTGAGATTTTAGGGCTGGGAAGGTGGCTCAGTGGTAGAGCGCTTGCCTTGCATGCCTGAGGCCCTGGGTTTGATTCCTTAGCACCACATAAGCAAAAAGAAAAAAGCCGGAAGTGGCACTGTGGCTCAAGTGGTAGAGCGCTAGCCTTGAGCTGAAGAGCTGAGGGACAGTGCCCAGGCCCCATGACCGGACCCAAAAAAAAAAAAAAAAAGAAATTGAGATTTTAGGAATCTAAACACTCAAAAACAAACAAAAAAAAACCAAAATGGACAAGAGACCTGAACAGACATTTTTCAGAAGAGAGACAGTAAAAAATTGGCTACCAGATATATGAAAAAATGTGCATGATGGAGTACTAGTAAGCAATAAAAATTACAGTCCTGTCATTTGTGGTGGGTGACATTCATGGAGCCAGAGATCAGCATGTTACCTGAAATAAGCCAGGTGCAGAAGAGACAAATACAGCATGATCTCACTCATTTGTATAGTTCTAAACAAGTTACCAAGGGTGAACAAATGCAGAAGGGGTACTCACTAGACTGGGAGAGAGTGAGGGAAGGGGTGACAATGTCCAAAAAGAAATGTACTCACTGCCTGACTTAGGTGACTATAACCCCTCTGCACATCAGCTTTATAGCAACAAGTTTAAAAAAGAAAAAAAAAAAAAAGCTGATTTCACTGAAGTTGAGAGAATTGTGCTTCACAGAGGCCAAAGTGGAGGGAAAGGGCTGGGTAGATGGTGAATTGGGTCAACGAGTGCTAATTATATTAACTATACAGGAGCTAGAAGCTCCAGAGCATTACAGCACAGTAGGGTGACTACTGCCTATTTTTAAAATTTTAAATGTAAATTCTAAATTTAAAGTATTCTCAATCTATTCATTTTAAAGGAAGGAAAATGGTAGTAGATATGTGTAGCCCAATTTAAACATTGCACATGTATTGAAATATCATCTTTTCTCTTTGTCCTAATACCAGGGCTTAAATGCAGGACCTAGAGCTACTGTTCAGCCTTTTCACTCATGGCTGGTGCTCCACCATTTGAGCCACCTCCAGTTCAGCATTTTGCTGGTTAATTGGAGATGACATCTCAGAGAGTTTTCAGGGCTGGCTGGCTTTGAACCTCAATCCTTTGGGTCTTAGCCTCCTGAAGAGCTAGGGTTACAGGTCTGAACCACCAACACCTGGCAATTTGTATGATTTCTGCATTAGTTAAAGGAAAAAATAATCTGTATAAAACTTCAAAGTATGAGAAATAAAAAGGCTGTAGAGGCTTGGCTTCCAGAGGGGGAAACTAGGTTACACATGAAGACACGGGACCAAGAGGGTCACTAACTCTCTCAAAAGCAAACCGAGATCCTAGAAGAAAATGGAGCAATAGCCCTGTGCCTTTCAAAGGTAAGTGATTTTTTTTTTAATTTTTTTTGGTCAGTTGTGGGGCTTGAACTCTGGGCCTGGGCGCTGTCCCTCAGCTCTTCGGCTCAAGGCCAGCGCTCTACCGCTTGAGCCACAGCACCACTTCTGGTTGTCTAGTGGTTTACTGGAGATAAGAGTCTCACAGACTTTCCTGGCCAGGGTGGCTTTGATCTCAGCTCCTGAGTAGCTAGGGTTACAGGTGTGAGCCACCAGCACCCAGCTAAAAATAATTTTTTTTAAACGAGAATTCTGTGTCCAGCTAAAGTAGCAAGAGTAAAGAGTAAGAGCTGGGCTGGGGTATAGCTTGTTTAGCATGTGTGAGGACTGGATTCTATTCCCACACTGAGAAAAGGAGAGAGGGGTAACTGAGGCATGTTGTTGAGAGATACAGAGGCAAAGACCAGAAGAATCTGCTTGATGGGTAAAAGTTGCCCACTTGAAGCATGTAGGAGGGGCTGAACACATATATTTGGTGATAAATTTTTTAGTATTATTTGATTTTAAAAATGTTACCTATTTAAACATTTATTGAGACATTTATACAATTTAACATAGAAGTCACCCATTTAAAATATACAATTTCATTGGGTTTTGGTATATTCACAGGACTGTGAAAACCACCCTCACAATCATTTATAGAATATTTTCTTCATCCTAGGCAGAAATGAAGTGTATATTAGCTGCCATTCTCCACTTGTCCACTTGGTTTTAGTTTTCTTTTTCATAAAACAGTGAAGCCAGTTGAATGGCTCACGCTAATTCTAGCTACTCTGGAGGCTGAATCCCAGAGGAATGAAGTTTGAAGCCTAGCCAGGCAGAAAATTCCATGAGACTCCACCTTCAAAATACCCAGCAAATAGTTGGGTTGAAGGTGTGGCTCAAGTGGTAGAGCACCAGCCAAGCAAGGATAAAACCCCAAGATCAAACTAAAAATAAAACCTATGTGTAACAGTGAGCCTGCCTTATTCACAGATGTATTGCAGGTGGTTTCGACCAAGCCCCAAAAATATACTAAGTAAACACAATCAAAATAAAGTTCAAAAATAAAAACATTTGCATTAAAAGCTCAGTTACACAGAAAGCTCTCAGTCCTTCTGTGCTATCATCAGTTATGTTTAAATCATTACATGATTGGCTGTTTCCCTGTAAAACAGAATATGGATCTTAGCTCAGCACTGGTGGCTCAAACAAATATTAGCTACTCAGAAGGCTGTGATCTGAGGATTATGGTTTGGAGCCAGCCCAACCAGACAAATCTGAGGGACTCTTGTCTAATTATAACCAGCAAAAACCGAGACCTGCAGGCTTGGCTCAAGATTAAGCCACCAGACATTTGAAATACTAGAAAAAAAAAGTGGACCTCATTGAAATTAAGTATAGAAATGTGCTTAACAAGAGACAGGAGAGGAGGGAAGGAGGGAGGCCTAAAGAGAGCACCAATGAGTACTAAGATAAAATTAGACAGGAACAAAAACTGGATTGCTAGAGCCTCCCCCCAAAGGTGGTGCTGGGCACCTGTGGCTCTTGCGCGTAATTCTAGTTACTCAGGAGAGATTTGAGTAAGGTTAAGGTGTGAAGTCAGCTGGGGCAGGAAACTGTGTGAGACTCTTATCTCCTATTAACCAGCAAAATAAGCCCGAAGTGGAGCTGTGGTTCAAGTGGTAGATTGCCAGCTTTGAGCAAAAAAGCCAAGTGACAATACAAGGCCCTAAGTTCAAGCATGAATGTACATGTGCATGCGCACACAGTTCCTACAACACAAGGTAAAAGTAATGTGCTCAACTGAAGTGATCAATTGAAAATCTGAAATGTGTTGAAAGGCAGCCTGTTTGTAATAGAAGTCAGTTGATAAAAAGGAAATCATGAATCAAGTAATTGTAGTATAACAATGAAGTCTGTATTCCAAGCATTCCAGTTTATTCCTCCACAGTGGTTTTTTTTAACCTGATACCAATTACTGAATGATGTAAAAAGTATCATTTTAAAATATTCAGTTCAGTAGCATCAAGTGTATTCATCCTGCTGGGGATGCGTAATCACTAACCATCTCCAAACATTTGCAGCATCTCATAAAAGACTGTTTTCTACTCACTAAACAAAAAATTCTCATTCTTTCGCTCCCCTAGGCCTCTGGGAAAGTTCTGTAGGCATTGAACTCTTGGTAGGTATTTGTAAAAGGGGAATATTTAACCTTTTTATTTCACTTAGAGTCAGAATTTTAATTTTTCTGGCTGAGTAATACTCCATTATATGTGTCTCCTACATTTTGTTCCTCTATCCACTTATTATTGTTGTTGTTGTTATCAGTCACGGGGCTGGGTGCTGTCCCTGAGCTCAGCTCAAGGCTAGTGCTCTACCACTTGAGCCACAATGCCACTTCTGGTTTTCTGGTGGTTAATTGGAGATAAGAGTCTCATGGCCTTTCCTGCCCAGGCTAGGTTTGACCTGCGATCTTCCGATCTCGGCCTCCCGAGTAGGTAGGATTACAGGCGTGAGCCAGTGGTGCCTGGCTCTATCCATTTATTAATGGACACTTTTAACTTGTTTCCACCACATGGCTGGCTACTATTAATAATACTATTAGGATATAAATATGTCTATCCTCACTTTCAGTTCGTGTGTGTGTGTGTGTGTGTGTGTGTGTATCCCCAAAGATGAGTTCGTGGGTCAAATAAGTAATCGGAGCCACGCCTCCAGCACTTCTTGTTGTAGTCATTGTTCAGATAGGGTCTACATTTTTTTCCTAGACTGGCCTACATCACTATCCTCCACTGCCAGCCTCCTCCCATGTAGCAGAGAGGACAAAGCTACACTACCACATGAAGCTCATGATTAGACTGCGCGGGGGTGGGAGGGGGTGGGTGGGCAGGGGGAGGTGGCCTACCTCAAACCACAGTCCCACTGATCTTCATCTCCCAAGTACAGTACAGGCAGAGAGTTATTAGAAGATGCCAGGCTCCTGGGTCTTCTTCTTCCAGTCTTTTTTCTGTTAAACACAGAGCCTTCTGCCCTCAAATCTGTGATCCTCTTCCTGCCTTGGCTCATGAGTGCTGGGATTATGGGGTGTTTGTGTACCACATCTAGCTAATGGATTGTTTTAATCCTTATAATGCCTCTATTCTAAGATCATAGGAACAGAAGATGCTAGAAGGCATTTGGAGGACTTAAGCCTTTATAAATAAAAGTATAAAATATAAAAAGAAAAATGTAAAGTGAAAAGTTTTGGTTCAATAATTTATTGGAACTGCATACATAAGATGTTTTCTAGAAGCCCAAGGATGTGCACTTTGAGTGGGAAGAAATGATCCTAGGAAAGTTACAAAGTTATTTTGAGAGCTCTCATATAATATAGATCAGAATTCTAGATCAGAATTCTAGCATAAAGTGAATTTGTCAGCCTTCATTTCCTGTCTGCCCATCAATCAAATACGTAGTGATTATTACATTCTAAACAGCATTGTGGGCACCACAAATCCACTGATAAAAAGAGACCTTCAAGCTGCTTGTTCCCTTCAAAGAGCGCACCACAAGGGGTGGAACATGTGCCACAGGGGACGCAGGATATACAGCACAAATCAGGTCAGAGGAGTGAGAAGATGCCAGGACAGGAGGACAAAACTCTGGAGCTGAGTTTGCAAGGGTGAAGTGTGCACAGAGATGACGGGTGATACATCTGGGCACCATGCTTGCTAGTGGTCAAGTGGTAAGGGTGCCTCTGTACACAGTTCAGCAGAGAGAATACTCAAATGAAAATTACTGAGAAGCAATAAGATTAGATTTTATATGACAGACATGTATGAAAATAAAGAACAGGAAATGTACTCATTACCTTGCCCATGGAATTGTAACCCCTCTGGTATTTTCACAATTTAAAATAAATAAGAAAAGAAAAAGAAAAAAATAGAGAACAAGTAAAATAAAGAAAAAAAGTAAAAGAGTAAGAAAAGAAAGAAAATAAAAAGAGTAAGAAAATAAAGAACAAGTAAAACAAAGCACAAAACCATAGGAGAAGGGAGACATAGCCTAGGAAATGCTCTGCATAGGAGATGAATCTGAAAAATAACAGATACTGAATATGTGGAGAACACAGAAAGAGAACTTGAGGCAGAGAGAAGAGCGCGGCAGTGGAACAGCAGCGTAAAGGTGTGACACGGAAGGCCGTGCTTGGTCAGGAGCAGACGGAGGAGTGAGCTGGGAGATAGAATGAGCAAAGTAGAAGAAATAACACAAGGGAAGAAAGAGGAAAACAACAGGATTACCACATAGTTACCAAGCCTCGATATTCCTTTTTTTTTTTTCCCTGAACCTCAGGCATTATGGCCTTTTCTGGCCTATCATGTGTAGGTTTTGGGTTTGTTTTCTAGCACTGAAAAATTCCTGTTCATCTTTAAGGATTGTCAATAGCTGTGTGCTTGGTGGCTTACACCTGTAACCCTAGCTACTCAGGAGGCTGAGATCTGAGGATCTTGGTTCAAAACAACCCTGGGCAGAAAAGTCCATAGGCCTCTTGTCTCCAATTAACCAACAAAAAGCCAAAAGTGGAGGTACAGTTCAAGTGGAAATGTGCCAATCCTGAGTGAAAAAGTCAAACGAGATCACAATGCTCATTTCTAGCCCCAATATTGGCGTGTGCGTGCACACACACACACACACACACTCACACACACACTCACAAGAATATTCAGTGCACTTATACTATTATTCTAAAAGACCCAAAACATAGTCAGACAGAAGTAAGAGGAACAACTAAGGTAGACTTAGGCATACTCAGAAAGAATTCTTAAAAGGTGAGCTACAGAAAAAGACTGGGAGAGACAGTGAATGTAGAAGTTAGCTGGGAGCTAGAGGCTCACACTTGTAATCCTAACTACTCAGCAGGCTGAGATCTGAGGACTGAGGTTCAAAGCCAGCCAGGGCAGGAAAGGCCATGAGACTCTTTTACTCTAATTAACCATAAGAAAACCGGAAGTGGAGCTGTGGCTCAAAGTGGTAGGGTGCTAGACTTGAACAAAAGAGCTCAGGAATAGTGCCCCAGCCCAGAGTTCAAGGCCCATGACTACCACCACCACCACCACCACCACCACAAGCTCACAATAGCCAAACAACAGCTTCTTAGGTAGGGAGTCCAAGACTATCAGCTGACATTGTCTAAGAGACAGGAAAGGTCCCCGGTTAGGAGACAAAGCTGAGGAGGCATCACAGATGTTCCAGAGGTGTTCTCTCGAGGATTAAGAAATCCTGGGGTTACTCTCTTGCTTGAGAAAGTAACATTAAAAGTTTAGCCTATTACAGAGAATCTTGGCAACATCTATGACTTGGACAATTTCATTAAAATCACTGTCAAACTGAATTTCATCATGATTCTACAGGATTCAAATGGCTAACTGGTTTCTTTTTCTAATGAAACAAGTTTTCACTTCAGTAGAGGTACTTCTGTTATCATTTTGATGGCCAGCAAGAAATGCAACTTAATAAAACCAGCTAAAATTTGAATTAACTTTGTTTCCCACTTTTAGAATATTATGATGGCCTGACCACAGAATAAGCTTTTGGTCATCATATTCACAAAATTGAGTAGAAAACTCAGTTACGTAAATGAAGAAGATGCCTAATTTTATTAACTTACATGTAAAAGTAAAATAATTTTACTTTGTGGGGAGGGAAGGGATGGTAGGGGAAAAACAAAGGAGGAGGTAACAATGCTGGATAGGAAATGGACTCATTAGCTTACTCATGTAACTGTAACCCCTCTGTGCAGTATCTTTACAATAAAAAATATAAAAAATAATTTTACTTTGGGAGCAAATTTAAAACAGACTACTTACCTGCGACCACATTCTGAGTATTTACCAATATTTTTTAGTATTAAGGCAGCTGTTAGTCGGATGTGTTTAGTTATTGGTCCCTCTTTTTCATCCTTAAAAGAAGAATGCAAAAAAAAAGAATAAAGATCTAAATCACACAAGGCTCACATCTCCCCAGAGGAAGCTCTCAAGGCACACTTACTGTGAAATCCCGAAAGACAAGGTTCCTAGATCCTCTCCTGAGAGCCATGAGGGCGGCACTGGGATGGTTCACAATGGCCTTCTGTGCCCTCGGGGTGGAGCCTGCGCCCCCTACAGCCGGTGGCCTGAAGTGATTAGAGAAACCTCTGTGTTATCACCATGCTGCAGACAGGCTCCTAGAGTGACCCGGCAGTCACTGGGCCACTTGTCAAGTTCGAGATACATGGTAAATAGAAGATGCTATGCTCAAACGTTAAGATTTACACTTTGAGTTACAAGCCTAGGTAAAAGACTCTTACTCTCAAGATGAGGTTTCGGGGCTTTTATTTTTCAATCTATCAAATATTTGTTGCTGTTTTGAGGTAAGGTCTCACGCTATAGGTTGGGCTGGTTTCAAACTGGCTATCCTCCTGCCTCAACTTCTGGAATGCTGGGATAGCATGCATGCACGGCCACAGCTCAACCTACCGCCTTGAAAACAAACAGATGCGCCAAGATGTGCTAGCTTTAGTCACTATGCTGAGCCAAAGTAGGCAATAAAAAGAAATACAGAGTTCCTACCTTTGAATATAATGTGAAGGTATTTATTAAGAGGAAAATAGTTTACAATTTGAGCTGCGAGTTATTTTAAAACAGCACCTAGGAGTAAAAATTATTTCCTAAGAATGTACTAGCCTAGATCATCCAGTAGAAGACAGTCTAATGTGAGTTATGTTAAACACTACATACAAATGATTATTTTCTTATATAACTTGTTTTCATCTTTATTTACTAATTTCAATCTAGTGCTACTGTTCTTTATGAAGTAGAGGTAGTGTTATATAGAACAGATTCAAACTCCTGGGGATTGTCCAGCCAACCAGATCTCTGTGCCAGTGTTGTGCATGCTCTGTGAAAGATGGACTTTCAACAAGTATAAAGTGAAAGCTCTGATATTCTTTTACATAAATAAACCAATTCTGAACATTAGAAAGTATAAAATGAAAACAATCTAAATGTAAACCAGTATATATGCATTTGTTTAAATATAAACAGATGTAGATATTTATATATGTATATATATGCAGATATAGAAAGAAATTCTTTGTCATTATGAAACACATGCTTATTCTCTTAAACAAAAACAAAAAAACAAAGAACCAAGCTGAGTACGAATGGCTGGCATCTGTATTCTAAAGAGGCTGAGTCTGGAGGGTCATGGCTTGAAGCAACCCCAGGCAGCAAAGTCCGTAAGACTCCACCTCCAAAATAACTAGCAAAAGGCAGAACTGGAGACATGGCTCAAGTTAGTAGAGCTAACAAACAGAGCAAGTGTGAGGCTCTGAATTCAAATCCTGGTAATGGCTAGAAACAAAAACCAAAAATAAACCCCTCACCCAAAACCATATATAACACTTCCATTACAAAAATTTTTCAGATTACTTGCCATCCCAATAACTTGTCTACAAGTAAAATCAAACTGTTAAAGCTACAAAGTACCCTAGAAACCACATTCCTGAAGTCATCTGAACATGGCCCTATCAGAATCCAGATTATGCATTTTCCCCAAATGTGACACCGCCTTTCACTGTTTCTGAGTTCTGTCTAGTTTCCTTTTCCATGTTTTTGGTCCTGTGTGGGATGGAATCCAAGGCCTTGCACACGTGAGGCCAACCCTTTACCACAGAGCAACACCCTCAGACCTGGTCTACTTGCTTTTCATGTACAAGAGCAAGTAAGCTCATTTTCCTTACTTGGTAGAAGATTTCTGATTTCCTGCTTGTCCTGGTTCATCTTGTTTTAATCCCGCAAGCAGGGCATCCTTTGAACAGTGTTTATCCTTTTGGAGAAAGTCCGGGGAAAAGAACACACATCAGTACCTTTAAGGCAACCAGAAGAGGCAGTAAGCAAATCATGGTAAGGAAGGGTACCTGTAAGTGTGTAATAAAAGAAAACCGCTGCCGCTGAAAAGGCTCACAGCCTTCCCAAAGACACTGCCCTGGGTACACGTCTTTTCCTCCATGTTCAGTAGCTGCATGGTAGAAAACCTGTGAAGGTGTCTGAAACCACCTGCAAACACAGAAGTTGACAGTTCCGTTAGAATATAAAACTTAGAATCCTCAATATGCAATGTCCATTTTATAGTCTAGCTTCCCAAATCAAGTCCTTAAAGATCTCTAACACAGACTTCATAGATTTATTGACTGTAAGTGGTGCTGTGGCTCAAGGGGTAGAGTGCTTGCCTTGAAGAGATATTGACTATACAAATGTTGAAGTTACTACTTAGAAATTTGCCACACCTTTAGGGGTGGCATGCACGGGGGTGCTGGGAATCAGGGCGTGGAGTGTGCCAAGCAAATGCCAGATCGCCATGCTACATTCTCAGCCCTCTCAAGTCTTTCAATGCATTCGATGCTGTCTGGATTCCAGTGATATTTCTCTTTGCAAGGTTTATGAAGTAAAACAGGGCAAACCAATCTCTAATTCATTTCACTTAAGTCATATTTCAAAAATTCTCAGCTTCTATTTCCAAGCTGAATTATTCAACCACACTGAAGACTTCTAGTTACTTCCTTAAGGTTATTATCATTCCTACCTAATTCCCTACTTTTACTGAAGGTTGACTGAGAAGCTCCTGAAGATAAATATTTAAAAATACAACAGAACATTATCTCATAAACAAATACCACACTCAAGTGTACTTTAAGAAATTGCTTAAGCATTTATTAAGTTTTATATGACATATAATTACTTTAACATATCCAGCCTGACGTCATAAATTCAGCATGTTCTGGCCAATTTATATTCTTAGCTGAGTCCATGTTTATTTTTCCACTTCTATTTAAGAAAATACATCTCTCATTTCTCCAACATCACATCCTATTCACCAGGCTTAGCAACACAAATGTCTGAATGGGTAAGGACTACTAATATCAAATACTATTCAACTTCATTAGCAGGGCAACAAGAAGCAAAACCAGAATCCAGACAGCGAAGAATGCTTTAAGAGGCTTCAATTTCTAATTAGTAACATGAATATGTGTGTAGTAAATGCCTTCATAAAGTTTATGGTAGAGATATCTTGAGTTAATTTTTTATGGCTATCAAATAAACATATCTACAAATAAACATCTCTATAGTGGCAAACACTTCAGATTAATTCTTTCAGGAAATGATCAATATATTTAAGATAAAATTTAATCAGAAAAGAAAATGCTGAATTATGAAAGACACTATTAAAAACAGATCATCACTGGTGGCTCATGCCTATGGTCTTATCTACTCAGAAGGCTGAGATCTGAATATCCCTGGGACATTTTAAGTTTGTAAATTTCTCTTAATTGTTTCTTCCTATAAAATAAATACATGTGGAGCTTTATTATACAAAACAATAGCTCTGATAACTGATGTCCCTCTTTAGTCAGCTTGCCTCCTTTTATGAGAAACTAAAACTTCCCTAGGGAAATTTCCTACTGAAATGTCTTTTTTTTTGGGGGGGGGGGGAGCTGGGCGCTGTCCCTCAGCTCTTCAGCTCAAGGCTAGCACTCTACCACTTGAGCCACAGTGTCACTTTCGGCCTTTTCTGTTTATTGGTGCTGAAGAACTGAACCCAAGGCCTCACGCATGGGAGGCAAGTACTCTACGGCTGAGCCACCTTCCCAGCCCCTACTTAAATGTCTTTTAAAAGAAAAAAATACCTCATATAAAAGTTGCTTCAAACTTAGCTTTGCCTAAGTTTTGTGGAAAAAATCTTATTTTACATCTTATCATCTCCTGAACACAAGTACAAATTTGTAAATAAAAAGAAAATTTCTAACCAGGTGGCACATGCCTATAATCCTAGTTACTCAGGAGACTGAGATCTGAAGATAGCAGTTCAAAGCCAACTTAGGCAGGAAAGTCCATGAGACTCCTTTCTGCAATTACCACCCAAAAGCCAAAAGTGAAGCTGTAGCACAAATGGAAGAGTGCTAATCTTGAGCAAAAAAGCTCAGACAACACCCAGGCCCTGAGTTCAAGGCGTAGGACTGGCACAAAAAATAAGGACAAAATAAGACCCAATTCCTAGGTTCATAATACAGATGTTAGTAAGTGCAGAATATTGTACATTTGAGAATATCTATTATCTAGCTATAGAACTCTGTACTTTCTACTAAATTTTGCTATCAACCAAAAACTACTCTAAAAAGTCCATTTTAAAAAATGATTGCTAAAAATAAAAATTGAAAAGGTCCTTTTTGAATTGACTGGCAAACATTTCCCTAGTATTTATAGTACTAGCTATTAGAAAAACGAGTGTTTTCATACTTTATTGTTAGAAGTTCATGTTAACATTTTTGGATAGTACTCTCTCAATTTATTTATGTGTATGTATGTATGTATGTATGTACGTATGTATGTATGTATGTATTGTCAGTTGTGGGGCTTGAACTTGGGGCCTGGGCACTGTCCCTGAGCTCTTTTGCTCAAGACTAGCACTCTACCACTTTGAGCCACAGCTCCACTTCTGGTTTTGAGTGGTTAAATGGTGGTAAAAGTCTCATAAAGACTTTTCTGCCTGGGCTGGCTTTGAACCGTGATCCTCGGATCTCAGCCTCCTGAGCAGCTAGAATTACAGGTGTAAGCCACCAGTGTCGGTCTATCAACTTATTTAATTTTTTTTTTCAAAAAGTATGCTATTTGACCCAGAACTTTTATTTGTTTTTTTGGTTGTTTTTTTTTTTTTGGTCCGGTTGTGGGGCCTAAACTCTGGGCCTGAGCACTGTCCCTCAGCTCTTCAGCTCAAGGCTAGCACCCTACCACCTGACCCACAGCGCCATCTCCGGCTTTTTTCTTTTTCTTATGTGGTGCTGAGGAATCGAACCCAGGGCCTCAGGCATGCAAGGCAAGCGCTCTACCACTGAGCCAACTTCCCAGCCCTGACCCAGAACTTTTAATTTAGACTTTTAGAACTGAAATATTTGTAGAAACTATTTGGACAAAATTGCTCACTACAGCTACTTATATTTGTAATAACAAATAACAAAACCAAACCCTGATTCTACATTAAAATGATATACTATTAAACAAAATTACAGTACAGGAACATTATATTTATGGAAATAAATGTCTTCATAATTCAAGAGAAATCCTGTCAAAGAAGAATAAGCAGATCTATTTACCAACATAGATTAAATATTTATATTGTAAAACCTTTCACATTGGTAAAAAAGAATTCTTGGTACTCAGTATAAAGTATGAGGAGAGATCCATCTGTTGACATTAAAATTTAAGCATACACTCTCCATCAATGAATATCAAAGTTTAAAATTAAAAAAAACCAAAATACAGTTGTATTTGAAAAAGGTTTGGGGGGGGGTATATACACTGAAAACTACACCTATCTTTTTAGAAGGATAGTTTTCAAATTTAAATATTTCACAAGGTAGAATGCAGCTTTTTGATACCAGACCTGGGTCTTGAACTCCAGGCAGGCCTGAGCACTGCCCCTGAGCTTATCTGCTTAAGTCTAGTGCTCTACCATTGAAGACACAGCTCCACTTTCCGTTTTCTATTGGTTAACTGGACGTGAGTCTCACAGACTTTCCTGTCTGGGCTGGCTTCAAACCATATCCTCAGATCTCTCTTCTCTCTTCTTCTAACCACCCCCCTCTCATTTCTCTTCCTCTCTCTCTCTCTCCTCTTCCCTTCCCCTTCTCAAGGCTGGTTCCATAACATTTGAGCCATAGCTCTACTTCTGGCTTCCTGGGCTGTCTTGGGACTCATTAGGTGTGAACTCTTGGCTTTGGACTTTCCAGTGTCCCAAACAGTAAGACATACATTTCTTTATTAATTCACCACTCTGTGGTGATAGCAACAGAAAATGGATTATGGATTAATACTTCACCTTAGAAGCAACCCCTCGTACCTGGACTACTTCCTGCCCATTCTGTTCTAAGACAACTAGAATGTGACTCAGTGGTTGAGTGGTTGCCTTGCATGCATGAAGCCCTGGGTTCGATTCCTCAGTACCACATAAACAGAAAAAGCTAGAGGTGGTGCTGTGGCTCAAGTGGTAGAGTGCTAGCCTTGAGCAAAAGCCATTCAGAGACAGTGCCCAGGCCCTGAGTTCAAGCCCAAGGACTGGCACAAAAAACACAACCCAAACAAAAACAAAACAAAAAACCCTAGAGGTCCTTAGGAAAAGATGATTTCAGCTGTGGGGCAGGGAACAGTACAAAATAAAATTAAAATAGAAAAAGAAAACAATTAACAAACCATCTTGTGTAACAGAAAACTGTCAAATATATATGTTAGGATCATATGTAAACAGACTTGAAAATTGGCTTGAAAAGACTTTTGCTAGCCCCACATGGCACAATTAGAATATCCCAAAGGGTATGATTCTTGCAATGGGTTAAAATAGCTCAGATATGTTCTCATCTTAAATCAGTTCATGATACCACAAATAAAACCTACAAAAGCCACACCTTATGACTATCTTCAGAGAGTCAGTGAACAACTCATTACTACAAACACTGACAAATGAGAGGAATAATAAGCATCTATTTTGCCTTTCCTCCAGGAATTTTGTCAGAATCACAAATATTAATAAGAGATCCTTTTATACTTTTTGTGCTTAAAGAAATTATGTTCTAGGCAATGATCCTCAATGAAAGACAGAAAGGGACAAGGTAGTATCTATCTCTTGATGGAAGAGGTCTTCATAAAAATCAAAGCAGAAGCTGGGCACAGGTGGCTCACGCCTGTAATCCTAGCTATTCAGGAGGCTGAGCTCTTAGGATCACGGTTCAAAGCCAGCCCAGGCAGGAAAGTCTGTGAAACTCTTATATCCAATAAACCACCAGAAAACCAGAAGTGGCGCTATAGCTCAAGTGGTAGGGCGCTCACTTTGAGCTGAAGAGCTGAGGGACAGTGCTCAGGCCCAGAGTTCAAGCCCCACAACCGAAAAAAAAAAAAAAAATCAAAGCAGAATTTGATCAAGCAAACTCCAGATGAACAAGGTTAAATTATCTGTTTTTTCCAACAAAAATTTAGGAAGGAAAAGTTAAGATCGATGGAGATGTAATCTACAGATCCAGAGGGATTTATAACTTAATCATCTAGAGGCAATGTTTGAATCTTGAATTCCCAATGTCTAAATGAACAAATGGTCACTGGAAAATGCAAAGATTGGACATTGGAAGAATCTGTAATACTGAATGAAGGGAATAGTGGGCATTCAAATGTGGTATGGTGGGGAATATTTAAAGGGTGCGGTCCCTATGTTTCAGATTTATACATTTAGAATAGAAAACACCAAGTTGCTCATATGTAACAACAAGTGACTCAGAAGAAACCATATTAAATAGAGAAGGAGAACTGTAACTACAAGACTATGTAGTAGCAAGTGTTGTTACAATCCAGATTTAGTACATTCCCCCACGTTGCTTTTAATTCCATGAACTTAAGAGCATGCAGGGATATGATCATTCGCACTGTGGGCTGGGATTTATCTCTGAATTTGGAGCTCTTAGCACATGGGGTCTTGATAGTCTGCTTAATAAATATTTGCAGAATCTGACTTAATCTATTAGCAAGGTACTACTTAAAAACTATGGCTTGGAAAAATGAGAAATTCTAAGAAGCCTTATTCAATCTTACTTAAAAAGACCAAGTACATCATTACTAGGACATGGTCCTAGTAATCAGGTGCACAACTAGGTTACTACCTGTTTTATTTTTTTTTCTCTACACACTATTAGAACTCCATCTAAAGGGCTGGGAACATGGCTTAGTGGCAGAGTGCTCACCTAGCATACATGAAGCCCCGGGTTCAATTCCTCAGTTCCACACAAACAAAAAAGCCAAAAGTGGAGCCACGGCTCAAGTGGTAGAGCACTCGCCTTGAGCAAAAGAAGCTCAGGGTCAGCGCCTGGGCCTGGAGTTCAAGCCCTAAGACTAGAAAAAACAAAAAACAAAAAACCAACTCCATCTATAACAGTTATACCTCCTATTCTAAAGCAGTTTAAGGTTTTTAAATAGAGAGCTTCTGTAGACTAACTACACTGGCCAGCTACTTACTATTTACCACTGGAAAATAAAACCTCAAAACAAATGGAAAAAGGATATTTGACACCAGTACCCAGGGTAGTGTATCATGCTCATAATCCTAGCAAGCTGAAAGGTAGGGATCAGAAAGACTGCAGTCCACGGCCTGCCTCAGAAGAACGTTTTAATAAGATCCCACCTTAAGCAATAAAAACTGGGTACAGAGATATGAACCAAGAGTATTGAGTAAAGTATTGAAGTATTGAAGTTCATGCTGGCTTGGGCAAGAAAAATGGGATGCTATCTGAAAAAATAAAATGGTAGGGGCATGCCTTGAGAGCCTGAGGTCTTGAGTTCAAAAGGAAAGGGAAGGAAGGGAAGAAGGGAGGGAGGGAGAGCGAGAGGGAGAGAGAGAGAGAGAGAGAAAGAGAAGAAAACAGAGAAAAAGAATAAAAGAAAGAAAAGGACACCCATAAGGAAGTTTCAGATTAATTTACAACATACACTAAAAGGACACCAGGAAAGAAGGGCTAAAAGGGTGTAGCTCAGGGATGGAGTACTTCCTTAACAAGTACAAGCTCATGAATTCTTTCTCTAGCACCTCACACATACAAAATTTGAAAAGATAAATAAGTAACTAGATAAGAAGGAAAGAAATGGAGAGTTAATTTGCAAAATGAATGAGGAAATAATGAGACATAGATTATATATTATGACCAAATAGATATACATATATGTTTTATATGCACATATGATTAGAACCAATTCTTACCCTTACTAACTGTATCTGTATCTATATTTTCTCTCTTTCTGTAATTTATTCTCCTTTTTTAGAAACATAATCCACTGGTTACGTCACACTAAAATGATTTCATGACTCCATGACTGAGTTGAGATTTAAAGTTTGATAAACCACTGTGCTGAAGAAGTTTTGTATACTATTAGTAATCCTTAAGCTACACAAATCCTTAGGCTAATCACAAATCTATTCATGAATTTTATCATGGAATATAATTGTCTATGATAAAACATGAATAATTGAAATGGAATGTTTGATATCCATGAAGACATGAAGAATATGTTCTACTGAGATAAAAGTCACAGTCTCAGAGTTAGTAAACTGAGCTAGAATGGCTCTTTCCACAATTTTCCTTGAGTAAATATCTCCCACTTAAATTTAAGACAAGTCATTCATTCCCTAACAGATGATTCCTTCCAAACTTCTACTATACAAAAATTCTCCGCCTGCCAGTAAGTTCAAGTTACTTTTAAAAATCCATCTCTTTTTCACAGCCAAACACATAATTAATCAACCAACCATTAAGCAATGACGATGTTACTACCATTACTATAAAATTCCTAGCTAAAAGTACCATTAGATCACAAAACACATTTTTGCTAAGTTAGTGATATCAAGGGAAATTTTCATGAAACTATACATTATGACAAATTTAAAGATGAAAGCATTCTCAACCAAAGAATACATTTGCATATCAAATAAAACTGCCATTTACTTTTTACAAGACTGCCACAGACACATGAAGTTCTGGCCGGGTTTTCTCATTGGCTCTGCATGTTGACTGGACACACTGAGTGGAGACGGCTGGGAACTGCTAGGCGGGCCCTGCACTTGCACAGCTGGTGAAGGTGGCAGAGGAGTGTTCTGAGGAAAAGCACAAAGACCGAGTGTGTGACACGACGCTGACAGCAGTATTTCATACACAGTCTTAAGCTGGATAGAAGAGCTTTGCAATCCAAACAGGAAATTTACATTTTGCAGTTTTAAGTCAATTTTCTTCAAAATATTTAAATATGAGTCTCTAGTTAATATGGAACCACAGGAGCAAGATTATATATTATTGTGACCATTATCAAGGACATGTGACTGTCCTGTCCTTGGCACGCCTTCTGTAACATGGCGCAATATTTGCATAAAATTCCAGATGATTAAATTGACAGCTACAATCAAACCTGGCACCAGTGGCTTGCGCCTGTAATCTTAGCTACTCAGGAAGCTGAGACGTGGGGATTGTGGTTTAAAGCCAGGTCAGACAGAAAACTCTGTCAGATTACATCTCCAATTAGCCAGGTGTGAAGGAGTGGCTCAAATGGTACAGTGCCAACTATGAACAAGAAAGTAGATCGAGAAGTTAAAACTCCCAGTTCAAGCTCTGGTACCAACACACATGAGTCCCCTTCCCCCCACAAAAACTGTTACAACCACAAGTAGAATATCATATCAAGTAATTTGCAGTAAACTGTCTAACAATCTTATTTTTAGGCAGTGCTGGGTTCAAACTTGTGGCCTTACGCATAACAGACGAGCTCTTTAGCACAAGCTACCTTGAGCCTTTGATTTTCCTTGAGACAGGCTCTTGCTATGCAGGTCTAGCCTGGCCTTAGACTCACCATATAGCTCAGGCTATCCACAATTGAAGACCTTCCTGCCCTGTCTCCCTAGAGCTGTACTACCACGCTCATCTTAATTATACCTTTGATGGATAATACTAGTAAATGGATTCTAATTGTAGGCCAAAGTCTTTTAAACATAACTTACGCATGGTTTTCAACCTTTTCTTTCTTTTGGGGGGGATGGGCAGGATTAGACTATGTGGGCCATGAACTTGAAATCCTCATGCCTCAACCTCCCAAGTAGGAGCTGTGAATACAGACTGCACCAAGACTGGCCCACGCCACAATATTTTTTCCATATCTTATCCCATTCTCTCTGAATATCCCTAATACATACAACATAGGTTAGAACAACTTTCAAAAGTAGCATACTTTGAAGTAGTTCCAAGGAAAAATATAATATTGTCTCACAAAGAAATAACACATTAGTTTCAGGAACTGTTTAAATTAAAACTTTGGGAAAACAGGAGATATGTTTGTTCATTTATAAGGTAACATTGGGAAAGGGGGGGCAAGCATTAAGTTAAAGCTGTTGAGAATGTGAGACTAAAAGACCAGACATATATAAGGCTATATATAATACTATAATTCAATCCCTCTCTGTATAAGTAACATAAGCTAAAACAACAAAAACAAAACTTGATCAGTGTTCTCCAGTTGTGTTTTTAAGTAGTTGTCTTTTAAAATGAGCAAGAAGCTACAAATACACCTGCATTTTAATTGAAGAATACACTTGTCATAGTTATCAAATTCCTCTGAATAAAACTGTTGGTTCTCTCCACTACTACCAGTTAAATGAAGTATTTCATTGGTGTGGCAGTCCTCTGCTTCTAAATTAGACTTCTTTTTTGTTTTGTTTTGGTAGTACTGGAGCTTGCACTTGGGGCTTCACAAGTACTGTACTGCTCGAGAATCAGCTAGAATTTTGTATCACAGCTCTGCTTTACTAAGAGTTAAATATTTTTCAAATTACAAGTTTTTTAAAATCAAGATGGAGAAGGCACAACTTCAGTGGATGAACAGATATATAAAATGGATAGGAAAGAATCCTGGCTTTTTCTGCAATTAAAAATCAACTAAAAATGCTAGCATAGGTTATACCTTATGTTTTAGAAAAAATACTGCTATTTGTTAACACCCCTTATAATCTTATAAATTTTTTAGGATAATTTTTTTTTGGGGGGGGTCCAGTCATGGGGCTGAACTCTGGGCCTGGGCGCTGTCCCTCAGCTCTTCAGCTCAAGGCTAGCGCTCCACCACTTGAGCCACAGCACCACTTCGGGCTTTTTTCCTTTTGCTTATGTGGTGCTGAGGAATCGAACTCAGGGCCTCAAGCATGCAAGGCAAGCGCTCTACCACTGAGCCAACTTCCCAGCCCTTTTAGGATAATTTATCATCTTGATTTCTTTTGTCATCTTCTCAAGACTGAACTATGCCTAACATGCTAGATGCTACAGATAATGCTCTGAATTGATCTCTTAAAACCTCACTAATATTAAACTTTAAAAACAGGAATAAGACTAAAATTTAAAAATACAATGTGTTAGAAAATTACAGTCATAATCTAGTCTTGCGAAAAGAAATTCAAAGCAATAATGAGATACCCTGTTCAATTTTAGCTACAGTTCAAAAGCGAGAGTGGAGCCAGGCAAAGGGGAGAGGCTGGTGAACGAGGCAGGTGTGATACCTACAGCCACGCTGACCTATGGGAAAAGGGCATTTGAAAGGACACGTGAGAGAGATTTTCAAAACACTGTAGGGAACTAGGTGTAAACCTAGTTCTACAGGTGACATAAAAGGGATCACACTTGCAAATCAGGTATAGTAGGCCATAGCTGTAATGCTAGCTCTCAGAAGGCTGAGAGAGACTGAGGGTGCAAGGCTACCTCAGACTGCTCAGTGAGACCCTGACTCAAGAAAAAGAGATGAGCTACTTGCCTGTGGCTCAGACCCACAAGCCTAGCTACGCACAAGGCGGAGATCTGAGGGCCGTGGCTAGAATCCAATGTAGGCAGACATATCTTCAAGAAACTTTCCTCCAATTAACTAGCAAAAAGCTGGAAGTGGAGGCATGGCTCAAGTTGGCAGAAAGCCAGCAATAACCTGAGGCCTGGATTTCAAGCCCCAGTATCAACAGAAAAAAACAAAAATCAAAACCAGAGATTACACTTAATCTAAATGTACAGACATTACTGAGGGGTGGGGAAAAACTTGTGAATGTGGGAACGTCAATTTTTAGACATGAGGTTTATGCATTAGATAGTACCTAAGACTGATAGCTCTACCATTTCCCCATTTTATTCGCTCCTTCCATATATATAGATATATATGTGTGTGTATGTGTATGTATGTATGTATCAATACTAGGGCTTGAACTAAAGGGTCACACTCTGTTGGTGTGCTCATTCACGACTGGCGCTTTATCACTTACTTGAACCAGGCCTCAGCCTATAACGTGCCAGTACTGGGAGGTGAACTCAACACCTCACATTCTCCCTTGACATTTTCACTCACCATTTGAGCCAAACCTCTATTTCTGGCTTTTTGGTGGTTAATTGGTTAAGAGTCTCACAAACCTTACTGCTGGGGTAGCTGCAAACCCCAATACTTACATCGCAGCCTCCTGAGGAGTAGCTAAGACTATAGGCATGAGCTACTAGTACCCCTGCTTTCTTTTACTTCCTTAAACTATGGGCTGAACACCCCTAATCCAAAAATCTAAAAATTAAATTGGTTCAAAACCTGAAAATTTTTTGAGTGCCAACCTAATTCCACAAGCGCAAGTTTCTATACTGTAAAGTTGTTCCTATGCAAAAAAAAATGATTAACAAATTATATATTACCTGTAGGCTATATTAGAAGTGAATTTTGTACTTAAATATAAACCTTGTACTCAACATCTCATTATATTATGCAAATATTCCAAATTTGGAAAGAAGTTTAACTTCTAAACCACTTTTGGTTGCCAGTATTTTGGATAAGGGATATTCAATCTCTACCAAGGTTTTTCCTCTTACTGAGTACAAATCTAGATAACAAAAATACATTTACCCTATTTTGTAAAAATCCAAAGAAATACAAATAGGTATGTTTAGTGGTAATGTCTTTCTTAGTTATGATAATGTGCTTGTGATGTATAAATCTTAGCAATAGAGTCTTAAAACATTAAAATTCTATTCTTGTGGTTTCTGACAAAGTTTCCTATAGCCTGTGACTAAATAATGCCCCTTTGCAACTACAACTACAGTCTGCTTACTGAAGAAAGAAAGAGATCAAAGGTATCAATATTGTTGGGTGCTGGTGGCTCATACCTGTGATCCTAGCTACTCAAGAGGCTGAGATCTGAGGAGTTCAGTTTAAAGCCACTGTGGGCAGGAAAGCCCTTGAAACTCTCATCTCCAATTAATCACAAAAAAGACAGAAGTGTAGCTGTAGCTCAACTGGTAGAACGTTAGCCTTGAGCAAAAAAGCTCAGGGACAGCGTCCAGGACCTGGATTCAAGGCTCAGGACTGGCACCAAAACAACCACAAAAAAAAAAAAAAAAAAACAAAAAAAAGCCCAACACCTAATATTGAATGTTACACAAAGCCAAATCAAGAAAGTGATTCAGGGGGCTGGGCACTGGCAAGTCACACCTATTATCCTAGCAACTCAGTTGGCTGAGCTGAAGATCATGGTTCTAAGCCAGCCTGCGCAGTCAACTCCTTAAGGGATTATCTCCAATTACCTACAAAAAGCCAGCAGCAGATATATAGTGCAAATGGTACGGGGCCAGAGCTAAAATGCCAATTGAGAATACAAAGTAGTTCAAGCCCCAGTACTAGCACCAAAAATAAAAATAAAAACAAATGAATAAATAATCATTCAGACCAACTGAAAACATGGAACTGAGGCAAAACTATATAAAATACTCTGAGTATTAAATACAAGAATTTAAACAGGTTGGGGCTGGGAAGGTGGCTCAGTGGTAGAGCACTTGCCTTGCATGCTCGAGGCCCTGGGTTCGATTCCTCAGCACCACATAAGAAAAAAGCTGGAAGTGGTGCCAGTGGTGCTGTGGCTCAAGTGGTAGAGCAGTAGCCTTGAGCTGAAGAGCTGAGGGACAGTGCCCAGGCCCAGAGTTCAGGCCCCACGACCGGACCCCCCCCCCCGCAAAAAAAAAGAAAAAAAAAAGAATTTAAACAGGTCATTAGATATAGGATTACTAAATACAGATATGTCCAACTTGTTTTGCATAATGCTGAAAAAACACTTGTGAATCTCTTTCATTTTCCATTCATTTTTATTTTTAATATGTTAATCTAGGCAGGTTTTTGTTTTTCCCCTCAAATAGGTATTAATTCATAGGTATTAATTCATAAAAAGTAGAAGGAAAGGACTATAGAAATTATACCCTATATTGCACTTGACCTAGCATATATAGCAGACTTAAACAGCAACAAACACATTTGCCTTGAAGTAGACCCAACTTTTTTATTGGTATAAAATGCCCAGCTAAATCCTTTTTTTGGGGCCAGTCCTGGAGCTTGAACTCATAGCCTGGGTGCTGTCCTTGAGCCTCTCTGTGTTCAAGGCTAGTACTCTTCCACTTGACCCACAGCACCACTTCTGGCTTTTTCTGTTTATGTGGTACTAAGGAATTGAAGCCAGGGTTTCATGTATGCTAGGCAAGCACTCTACTGTTAAGCCACATTCCCAGCCCAGCAAAATCTAGTTATATAACTTACTTTAGACTGTCTTCAAATGTTATTTTTTTCTATAGTGAAATACAGTTGACTAATAACGTTAAGAAGAACAAAATTAATATGAATGAAGTAATAATGGTACTAGGAAGGCTGGCCATTTAGTTTTTGTTAATGCTTCCTTGTGTTCTAGTACAGTATACCAGCCCTGAGCATCTTCAAGTGTGGCTGCTTCCTGAGAATGAGAGATGCCATACATCTGACAAATCAATTTGAACGTGTCTATTTTGGATCCCTCTAGGCTACCAATTCAAATAATGAACAGTATTAAGCCAACGTGTAAAGTGTAACTTGTAGAGTATATAAGGAAGATCCAACAGTCTAACCTTTAAAATATTCTGGCATCATTAATAAAGGGCTAATTATGTCATGGGCACTGTGGTAAGTGCCAGACACAAGAATCCCGGGTTTTGATGGCTTTGGAGATGTGGCTCAGTGGAGAGCACATGCCTAGTACATATGAAGTCCTGGGTTCCGTCCCAGCACTGAACCACTGAAAAAGAATAAATCCTGGTCTTTAATGGTCACTTTTTGCAGTTACCGCACATGCTACATGCCTTTAAAAAAAAAACAAAACAGTTTTAAATTTTTATGCAAAACATTAATTTTAGAAGCACATCGGTTTCTTCCTCTTTTTTTAAAGGAAAAAAATGTATTTCCTCTTTTGTCTGTGGTGATGATAGGGCTAAAATTCAGGTACTAGGCATGCTCTACCATTGAACCATACCCCAGGACACAGAATGCAGCTGTTTTAAGTAATCTACATTGTCTGATGATAATACTTAGTTTGATGCTCATTTTTTAGATTAGAAACTATATTTTTAATGGCCTAAATTACCTGTATATGACTAATGTGTCAAGAGTTTCAGGACATCAAGCCGATGTCCTGAAACAACTAGCAGTACTAATATTCTATATGCAGTAGGTCAAATCATCAAAATGCAATATAATAACGGGCTTTTAGAATTTCTTGTAAATAGAAATGAAAAGCAACAATTCGTTGAGCTCATCAGACATCATTTCATATATACTCAGGGCTCATTCCTGGTGGCATCTCTTATTATTTGGTAACCTTGGGTGAGTTATTTAGTATTTTTAGTTTTCATCTCTGAAGCAGTAATGATGGTTTTTACCAGTAGGACTGTTGTGAGGACTAAATGAGAAAATGTTTTAGTACAAAGTCACTAGTATAGTCTTAATTGTAGATAACATTAGTATTCACTCATTGTTATTGAGCCATCATTATTGAATACAATCATCATATATAATACATAAGACAAAGAAGACAAAATAAACGTTAATGAAACAACTCCATAACAATGGAGTTTTCCTCTCACTTGTCTTGGTCTATTATAATTATTTAGAGTTTTCATAGACTCCAAGGGAAGTGGGGGGGGGGCAGGAAGGGGAGGGGAGACAAAAACCAATATCAAGATGAAACAAGAAAAGGATAAAATCAACTTTTCTATTACGTACTCAACACTGAACTATTTAAGTGAAAACAACTTGTGAAACAATTTGAGTAAAAATGATGTGATATTTTCTTCTAATCACACTCAGTATTACTGATATACACACAATACCCACTAAGCAATGCACAACAGCTTAAAATAGATCTATGCAATGTGAACGTATAAATAAAAATCCCATTATTCTCCAGATGAATACTAGTTAAAACAAAAACAAACCACAAAAAAAAACAAAAACTGATTTGAAGCAAGGGAATCTTCACTTTGTTCTTGCATCTTACATTTTGCTGTCAGCCATACCAAGACTGGGTCTAATTCCAAAAAAGTTCATACATCTGCTGTCATCTCTGTAAGCATAAAGACGCAACCCAGGCCAGAAGAGTGCTAGCAGAGTCGGCAGTAGTCGTTACCTTCTAATTGGCAGACAGAGTCAAAGAGAAGTGATCAAAAAACAGTTGTTGGTAACTGTTAAGTGAGCCCAGGATTTCCATGGAAATGGCATGTAAGACTCTGTCCTTAAATCTCAACTAGTTTACTGCATCCCCAATTTAGTAGAATGGGTCCTAGAAAATAGTTTTGTTTACTACTAGAACATACAGATGGGACAACAGAAAATAAAAAGGGGAAATCAGAATATGACAGAAGAGCAAAAAGATTAAGAAAATGTAAAACAAACTGAAATTATAAGTAACACTTTTTTTAAAAAATGAAGTGCTTGCTAGCATGCTTGTGGCCCTGGGTTCAATCCCTAGTAATTTAGGAGGAAAAACAAACAAACAAAAAAGATAAAGAACTAATTAAATACATAAACATAGCAAGAACATACTTTTTTTAAAATCAAGTTCACTCAAAAGCCTGTTAAAAGGGCCACAAAAACACACAGAAATCTCCATCTGAAGTCTTGTTAAAAAGAAGTCCCCTTGAAAAATAAGACTTAGACATATTTTTTAAAATTATTCAAAGGACATTAATTAGCAACTCCTACAAAATAACAAAACTGAAATTATTTTTAAACCATAAAGCTAACAACTGAAAACTGTTAAATATAAAATCAGGGGCTCAGAATGTGGCTTAGTGGTAGAATGTCTGCCTAGCATGCATGAAGTCCTGTGTTCGATTCCTTAGCACCACATAAACAGAAAAAGCTGGAAATGGGGCTGTGGCTCAAGTGGTAGAGCTTTGAGCAAAAAGCAGCTCAGGGACAGTGCCTAGGCTCTGAGTTCAAACCCCAGGACTGGCCAAATAAATAAATAAAATCAGAAAGAATGGAAAAGTCTGAGTATTGATACACAGACCCAGTAACTTTAAGGTGAGCTAGGGAACAACAGAATGTATCCATATTTACATCTCAGTCATATTTGCAGCTCAGAATCTTATGGCAAGAGAAACATGGTAGCAGAGTGGCTTACCTGTGGGACCACATTCTGTATGTACGGTGGTGGATGCTGCTGCTTGTGCTGAACAGCACTTTCTATTGCTACTTTAGCTACAGTGCTTGGGTCTGCTCCTGCCGGCACAGCAACCATGGTTGCACTACAGCTGGCGTTGTTGGGGTCACTGATTGTAACAATTCTCACTCCTACTTTATTTGGAATTCCTGTGACTGTTTCCCTATCGTTCTCCTCTGCTGGCCTCTTTGCAGTTTTGCATTCTGCTGTGCCATTTGTAGACCGCACATCAGACGATGGGGCCGAATGGGGCACTCTTGATCCTGAGTGGGGAACTGCTATGATTTGATGCCCCTGTATAACAGAGGTTGTAGAATGTGGTGAAACAACTACACTTGGGCGTTGCTGAGGCACATCTGAATTCAAACTTGAAGCTAGAGGTCCATTAGGCAAATCAGTACCACTAAATTGCTGTGCGGCCACACTTGAAGCTTCCTGTATACTGCTCAGAGATGGTGAACCAGCCAAAGTCAATACAGGTCCATTAGAAATTCTTTCTAGTTGATCACCTTTGGCAGTATCTTGCTGAGTGGCATCTAAAGTTCCTTGTGACTCCGTTGGAGAGATCTCACCATTTCCTACATGATTGGAAGTTTTGTGATTTGGAATGTTTTTGCTTAAATGAGAACCATCTCCTTTATCAAAATCACAGATTCCATTAACAAGGGGTTTTTTCAAATCGCTCTTGATATCCTGCATGTCCATTTGTTCCAAATTCTGTTTTCCAGATGCTCCGTTCTCACCTAGTTCTAATGATGGCCCATTACTGATTAGTGAGCACTGACTGGTCTCACTTTGAGTTTTCCCTGAGTTTGAAGGAGGTAGACTTGAGTCACTGTACTTTTTCCCATTTAAAAGGCTTCCCACCTGCATTTCACTTTCTTTTGTGTCCCCATTGCTGGTGTTTGCGGCGCCTCGTCGGCATGACGGGTTCTCCATGACTTCGATTTTACGTTCGTGAACGTGTAAACCTGTTGCTTCCTTTGCCTCCTCCTCCTTTTGGCAAATTATTTTATCACCTTTGAATGGGGGAGTAGCAATGGTACACGATGATTGTGATTGTCCAGCTGGAGACGCTTGAGTGGCTGGAAGCGTTTGCACCTGAAGTCCAACTCCTGCCTGGGTTCCGCTCACGGTAATACCTGCTGGAGCAATGAGCTGAGTTGCATTTCCCTGACTCACAGTTGCAGTTGCAAAACTTGTATTTGGCACAACTGTTATGGTTACCTGGTTGCCAGAAGTCCCTTGGAAAATGGTTGCTGGGCTATTGGAGATCAGTGGGCCTGGCAATATTTGTAAGTTCGAAATGGGCACGGTCTGCACTCCCCCTGTAGATGGCATTCCACTTTGGACCAACTGCACGTTTTGCTGTCCAACCAATAGCTGCTGAGCTGGAGGTTGTCCCTGCACTCCAAAACCAGCTGCTTGGTTGTTGGCCACCTGATACACCACCTGAGGGCTGGGAGCTCTTGCATTATTAGGGGGTGGAATCTGTGGAGCTGGGAGAATCAGCTTACCACCCGGGGTGGAAGGGCCACGCTTTGGAAGCAGCAGCTGTTTGATCAAACTTGACTCACCAGAAGCAGGCTGACCAACTCCAGCATTTGTTTGCTGAGGCTGCACTTGCATTTGTACTTGTGGTGGCTGCTGAACTTGGACCTGGACCTGCTGGGGTGGTGGTGCTGGTGAATGCTGCTGCTGCTGCTGTCTTTTCACAGATAGCATTTGACTGACGGTAGGAGGTGGGCCCTGCGACTGAGGAGTGGATGAAGATGGCATGGCAGTAGGGACTTGGTTATTCGTAGCTGGGACAGGCGACGGGGAAGAAGAGGGAGTTATGTTTGGTTGTCCAGTTAACTGAACTGTCTGGCCAGCGGGCAGGGCTGCTGGGTTAGCAAGAACTATTTGGTGAATGGCTGGTGCGTATGTTTGACCTTGTTGAGCTGGCTGACTCACGATCACTACACTTTGTTGGGTTGGCTGCTGTGGCTGTTGAATGGGCTGCTGTACCACTGTGGATGGAACTTGTTGGGAAGGGAGGGGTTTTGGTGCAATGTTCTGGAATCCTACCCTTGACGGTTGTGGACTGGGAACACCAGCAATAGTAACCATTTGCCCTGTAGCTACCTGAAAATTCTGTACAGAAGTTGCAGAGACAATATTGGAGGCAGAAGTTGTTACGTACTGTGGGGGTGCTATGATAACAGTGTCTTGCGGCTGGCTACCAGCTGATGCTTGCTGAGATGACGGCTGCACAGGTTGTGGTGATGTGGTGATTAACTGTTGACCTTGTGAAACTGTAGACGTACATGCTGGTATGTTCTGTACTCTGCCAAATATATGACTCTGTGGGACAGTTTGCTGAATTACTGTAACAGGAGTGCCTGAAGGAATCTGCCCTGGCACCACTGTGTGTAATGAAGATGGTTGTGGAATTACAGGTGGATGGTGAAGCAATGTCTGAGAATTCATAACTGTAACAGGTTGTGGCCCAGTACTGTGATTCTGAACCACAGAACTCTGCACAGGTCCTCCTCCGACAGCAATGCTCACAGGAACTGCTGTCTGGGGTATAGAATTCTGGATTACTGTCGCCTTAACAACCTCACAAGGAATTGGAGCTTTATTCTGAATGACAGTCACTGGAGCATTTTGCTGCTGGTGTGCATGAACTGAAGGATTTGGTGGAATTCTGGAAACAGTCTGCGCCACAGTATGAACACCTTGTACTGGAAAAGACATTTGTGTCGCCGTCAAACTTGAAGATTGGTTGGGAACCGGAGCCCGCTGAAAATGATTTCCTACAGTTTGTGATCCATGAGGGAGTCCTGTGAATATGGGGAAAAAGTCAAAATTCCAAGTGAAATGATTGAAAAGCTCCATGTAGCAATGATTTTATTAACACACTGAAGCATAATTAGAACAATAAAACAAGAAAATGCTACAGGGGCTTGGAAGGTAGCTCAGTGGTAGAGCGCTTGCCTTGCATGCATGAGGCCCTGGGTTCGATTCCTCAGCACCACATAAGCAGAAAAAAAAAGCCGGAAGTGGTGCTGTGGCTCAAGTGGTAGAGCGCTAGCCTTGACCTGAAGAGCTGAGGGACAGCGCCAGGCCCAGAGTTCAGGCTCCACGACTGGACCCCCCCCCCAAATTAAAAAAAAAAAAAGAAAATGCTATAGAAAAATCACGGCAAAGTTACACATTTTCGATATTCCTAACAGTTCATTGGGTTTAATTATTACACTCATAATAATCAATACACATTTCTAAAAGCCAGGCACAGTGGCATAGGCCTGGAATTTCAGACTAAGGAGGTTGAACCAGAAGGATCAGAAAAGGTAGCCTGGGCAGAGTATACAGTAAGACACTATCTCAAAAAAAAAAAAAAAAAAAAAGGAAGGGGAGGAGTGTAGTCATGGAGGTGGAAGGCAAAGGATGGTAGGGGAAAAACAAAGGGGGAGGCAACAATGCTTGATAAGAAATACTCATTACCTTGCTCATGTAACTGTAACCCTTCTGTACAGTATTTTCACAATAAAAAAAAAAACTTATTTTAGGGGCTGGGAAGGTGGCTCAGTGGTAGAGCGCTTGCCTTGCATGCCTGAGGCCATGGGTTTGATTCCTCAGCACCACATAAGCAAAAAGAAAAAAGCCGGAAGTGGTGCCATGGATCAAGTGGTAGAATGCTAGCCTTGAGCTGAAGAGCTGAGGGACAGCGCCCAGGCCCAGAGTTCAGGCTCCATGACCAGACCCCCCCCCAAAAAAATTATTTTTTTTAAAAAAAAAGGAACCTGGGGCCTAGGCACACACCTGTAATCTTAGCTACTCAGGAGACTACTAAGATCTGGGCGATTTCAAAGCGAGCCTGAGCAGAGTTATCCAAGAGACTCCACGACCAAAAATAATCAGCAAAAAGCACAAGGTCTTGAGTTCAAACCCCAGTAATGACAAAAGCAGGTACAAACTAACGACAAAACTCCAAAACATTAAAAATGAATACCCGCAGGTGAAGGAGTTGGAGATAAATCAGGAACCGAATCCACACGAACGACAGGAGTAGAAATTGGCTGCTGCTGATAGTACATCTGGATGGGGAGTGGGATAGCCCTCCGTTTCACGCCTACCACGTGAATATGTGCCTGCCCATTGTTACTGGAATCCTCCACTCTCTTCACCGAATGATTGGGAAAGACTGTTCTGTAAAGTGATACAAACTGAGTTAGTTACAACAAGCATCCTAGCAAAAACCACAGGTTCTAATGTCTACATGAACTATGGCTCTATGTTTCCTGCTACCTACGTATGAATTAGTACCATTTATAAAGTCATATTATATAAATGAGAAATAAACATAGAAGATTAACTCTCCAATTTAAAAAACTGATTAACAATGTTGTTGAGTTTAAAGCAATTTCATCCCATTTGTAACTACCTACAAATACCAATTTTATGAACTTAGCAAAACATCAAAAGGCCTTGATTTGAAGATACAGTATTAATTATTCACTATTATTCACAATGAAAAAGAAGCAATAACTTCAACATGAGATGCTAGGTAAGAGGAAGAAAAGAAAACTTGATTTCTTCCTTTTCTTACTGTGATAAAACTTGTACTTCAATAGAAACTCCAAATGTGATTTGTGAGACTGCTTTTTTTTGGTCGGTCGTGGGGCTTGAACTCTGGGCTTGGGCATTGTCCCTCAGCTCTTCAGCTCAAGGCGAGCGCTCTACCATTTGAGCTACAGCGCCACTTTCGGTTTTCTGGTGGTTTATTGGAGATAGGAGTCTCACGGTTTTTCCTGCCCGGGCTGGCTTTGAATGAACCGCGATCCTCAGATCTCAGCCTCCTGAGTAGCTAGGATTACAGGCGTGAGCCACCAGCGCCCGGCTGAGACTGCTTTTTTTTTAAAACTTCCATACTACAGTCTCTTCATATGAAATTTCAAATAGTAAAGTTATTTGAAAATAGAAAGATAGTTGGTGTTTTCTCTAAAGGCCAAAGAGGTATTGTAAGTGATGTAAATGAGTTTTATTTTAAGAACTATACATCCTACCTAAGACACTTGTAAAATCCAGTTGACGTGAGGATTCCACCACGAGCTAATTTACTACAAGTGGAGAGGTATTCTGAATACATGTCTGCTCGAGAGACAGAACAATCTGGATTTACTTCAAAGTGAGCATTTAGCCTAAAAGACGAGAAAGGTAAGTCTGTAAATTATACAATAGCAGTCATATTTAAATATACTAAAACTATTTGAAGATAATGTGCCATAAAGCTAATGATTATATTGACTAAAAAATGCTTCCCTTCTTCATATGTTAGTAGTAAATAAATGCTAGGTTTTAGATAAATGAAATAAAAAACTACTTTATCATACTTATTGTGTTAAGTATCACTAAGAATAAACATAAAAACTCAGTCACATCCCATCAAGAGCAGGTTTGAGTTACTAACAACAAATGTCTTATAAATAAGTTTTGTTTAGTGAATAGCTAGTTGGGTCTTAAATAGAACAAATCAAAATGTGATTAAAAACCATTTGCTAAGGAAAGAGTAAAAACAACTAGACTAAGGATAAACTTTGCTTGACTCTTGAAACCAATTCCTTCATAAGAAAACGTAACCAAAACTTTCCAACTACTCCCTAAATCAGTGATAATTTCCATGCTGTACATTCCTATTCACTCATTTCAAACACTTCTATTGCTACTTCATTACATTACAAACAAATTGAAACTTCTAGTGACTTTCATCTCTAAGTCAGGAGTTGTGGTCACCTTTTCCTCGTAGGTCTTTCTAAAACTAACATGGCACCAACCAACTTTGCTAATCAAATGAAAATTATAATAAAAGACTTATAAAAGAATTCTCTTCCCCCTCTCCTTCTGCAGAAATGTGCACATGGAATCTGGAAGAAGGTATCTATCCTGAACACATGTTTTACTGTGGTTGTGGTGTATGTTCTTTCCAACTTGCATCATCTTCTCTGTACCAAGATTTCAAAAAGAAAAGATGTGAAAAACATCACTGTGGTTGCAGTATAGAAGGTGACATTTCCCAATATTATTATAAAAGATTGCTTAAGAACAAAGGGTTGTTAGTATGTAAAAAACAGAGGTAAGGAAAAAGCAAATAGAGATAACCATACACCTGATATAAGCAAAGGAGGAAAGTGTAGACAAACTATCATAGAAACAAAGACATGAAAAGCACCAAAAATATGGAAGTGGCAGGAATATGGAATGGGTGATAAATAATGTTAGAGAATGAGAGAAAGCGGATAAAGAAAAGGAAATTGCTACAGTTAGATCTCATTAAAAATGTTTTTATACTATTATCTGTCCATTTTCTAAGGAATTACTTCATATATAACGTTTAGGCAAGTAACTAAAGTGAAATCACCTCCTCTCTATTTTTTTTTCAGAAAAATAACAGAAAATACTGTAAAGTTGCCCATTTCAAGATAGACACTTGCTGTTCTATCATTTTGACTCATTTTCCCTTGTCCTTCACAACTATTAAGGAAAAAAGATTGTTCTCTAAGCTAGGAATTGTAGCAGCTACCGATAATCTCTGCCCTTGGGAGGCTAAAGCAGAAGGACTGCAGGTTTGAGGTAGCCTAGGCTTATATGTGAGACTCTGCCTCAAAAATTAAAAACATTTACAAGAAACAAAATTTTTGCTTTAGACAGAAAAGACATTTTAACAATACAGCCTCGTTTTCTTAAAGTCAGTCCAATGCTGTTTTAACAAATATTAATTTTAAAAGAACAAATTTTGCAATCAAACAAAAAAGTTTCTGTAGTCAAAGATAATTTTTTTTAAAACACAAATGTTATTCCAAAAAGAAACTAAATGATGTGACCAAATGACTTGCTATCCAGGTGACTTTAGTTCTAAAAATCTGGATATTTTCATTCAAATTATGCCAAAACATAGGTGAAATGATTTTTACATTGCCATTTTGATATAAATGATATTCTACACTAAAAGGAAATCCATAATAAAACATTCAGGATGACTGCTGAATACATTTTTTGTTGTTTCTTTTGCTTTATTCTTCCCAAGGATACAGCCTTAATAGAAATAAGCCACTTACCACTGACAAGCAAACTTCTCACTATCTATTTCCACTATTCCTGGAGGTGGAGCAACATGCTGTGCTACAACTGCTCTGGAAGCTAAAGAAAAAAATACATTAGCTACATCATTTCCAACACTTCCGTAAATGCATGCTGCATTTAATTCCTGGACACTGAACCAATTAATATTCACAATGAATACCTTTTAAAAAGGTATATAAACATATGGAGATACACAAATTTCAGAAAGAAACAAATATGTAACAGAGCACTTAATATATCAGGTACCATCTTAGGTACTTGTTATTGTGTATAACCTCAAAGCCATTCAAATAATAACAATATTATGTGTGACTTAGCCAATAATATAGACAGCTTTCCCCATGGGCTAGAGACTGACTGAATACATTACAAATAATACCTCACTACTTCTGTGAGGTAGGAATAGAAATGATTCTGTTGCATAGGGAACTGGAGCGTAACTCAGTGGTACAGTGCATGTTTAGCATATGTGAGAACCTAGGTTAAAACTCTAGCAGCAAAAGCCCCAAACAACCTTTTCTCTTTAAAAAACAAATTCAGTTAGGTTCTGTGGGAGATTGTTCTTTATATATTGTACGAGGTAAAATCTGCAGTGCCAAAATTGACATATAAAGTACAATACTAGCTAAGCGCTGGTGATTCATGCCTGTAATCCTAGCTACTCAGGAGGCTGAGATCTGAGGATCATAGTTCAAAGACAGCCCTGGCAGTAAAGGCTTTGAGACTCTTATGTCCAATAAACCACCAGAAAACCAGAAGTGGCACTGTGGCCCAATGAAGAGCTCAGGGCCAGCATCCAGGCCCAGAATTCAAGCCCCACAACTGACCAAAAAAAAAACAACAAAACACTACAACACTCCTTGGAACACATAACACAAAGAACTTTATAATTGTGAAAGAACTTTATAATTGTGAAAAACAATGTAATGCAATTTGGTAAAAATTTATGGAACAATATTCCAATTTCCTAACTCAGCAGTCCTTAAAATGTTATCTCCAGATCTGCAGCATAGCATCTCATGAGAAACTGTCAGAAATGAAAATTCTCAGTTCTTTCCACCTATTGGCAATCTAGTATTGAGGCTAGAAATCTGTTTTATCTAAGCCTCTTGGGCTTCAGAGGCACTGTGCTAAAACCTCTAGCATTTGTCTCCAGTTACACAGGTGCCTCTAACTAAAGGAGTAGTACACATAATTTATAGTCATATCTTAATACATTTTTGACATATTTTCCAGAAACTTAAATCAAATCTATCTAAAGATAGATACTTGTAACAAGCCAAGTACTTGATTATTCTTTAACAAAAAAAAGAGTGAAGAGGGCTGAGAAGGTGGCTCAGTGGTAGCACTTGCCTTGCATGCATGAGGCCCTGGGTTTGATTCCTCAGCCCCACATAAGCAAAAGGAAAAAAGCCCGAAGTGGCTCTGTGGCTCAAGCGGTAGAGCATTAGCCTTGAGCTGAAGAGCTGAGGGACAGTGCCCAGGCCCAGAGTTCAGGCCCCACGACTGGACCCCCCCCCCAAAAAAAAGAGTGAAGAACTACTTGTTAGATGATCACAAAAATTAAGTTTAATACTTTTGGGGATAGTTTTGAAGGAGTCAATGAATTACAAATTTTATTCTCATCTATTTGCTGATATAAGCTAAATTTCTCAACTCATATTTAGAGAGAAAGAAAAGGGGTAGAATCAATACACAGTACAATTTCACTGAAACAATCAGAGTAGCATTCATTCAAAGATACACTGGATTAATGGATTCCATAGAATTAGGGAGGAAGTAGCCTCATCTATTTCATTAAGATACAGACTTCTAATACTTTTACCTTAATAATTAATTACAAAAATTTGTAACATTTACTATTTTATGATGTACTATTAACTCAAGCCTATAATGACAAAATAAAATTTTAAACCATTAAAACTTCACAGAATAAGAAATTGAAGAAACTTTAAAATATTTTATACCAAAACAGCATTGACATATTAATATAAGGCTGCCAAATCAGATAAAATTCTATAAGGACACAGGAATGCGTGCAATGAGAACAGGGGATGTTACAAGATTTCTGATGGTACAGCATTTGTGTATAGGAGATGGGGCTTGCCGAGGATTGCTTCAGGTTCTTGTGTATGCTTCTCTTTGTGCTCTATCACTCAGCTGCATTAAATCCCACATGTATTTTTAATCGAAGATGGTTTCAAGATTCCAATGAGTACAAAAAACATTCTAAGTACTTTGTTTTTTGTTTTAAAAAGTCAGTTTCAAAATATATACATTGCATGCAGCTCTTTAAATTACGATGAAGCTAAATGCCAAGTTTAAACGAGGTAAGTGAAAAGTTTTCCTAATGATAAGAAGGGCAAAGTCTAAATATAACCCTACTAGTAGTGAGGGAAAAAGTCAAACTACAAAGAATAATCAAATAATTTCACTATGTCATTCGCAGTAAACATAAATAATAAAGAACCCTCTCCAGGTAAAAAATTAAGTATTTTAAGTCTCTAGAGGTCTGTTTCCATTTCTGTCAATGAACTACCATACAACTGAATAAGCTATAAACTCTCAATGTTTAATTTGCCCTTTTTTCCAAATGAGGGCCCAATTGGAAGAGTAGGTTCATTTATGAAAGTCAAAAGCACTGTTAAGATTAAGACTTAAGGTTAATTATAAAGCACAATAGTAGCTCCGATCAAAATCACACATAAATATCCATCAAATGGCCCATTACGGTTCAGTTATTTGGTAACAAAACCAGCTCTTTGTCAGACTGCTCTCTTACCCTCTATTAATCTTCAACTTCTTTCAGGATAAAAATATATTCCCACTCCCCCCAACCCATCATCCATTTAATTGACAGCATACTTTATCTCATTTCTTTGGCAAATCAATAGTACTCTTGCTGAAGTTTATTAAATATTTGCTTTTTTGTTTTGCTTTGGAGACAGGGTCTCACTATGTAGCCCGGGTTGGCCTTAAATTTTACGATTATCCTGCCTCAGCTTCCGGAGTGCTGGGATTATACTCACTTACTACCATGCCCGGCTTATGCATTTGATGTTTAGCATTTACTGCCATAGGAAAAAGCTCAGTTGGGGCTGGGAAGGTGGCTCAGTGGTAGAGCGCTTGCCTTGCATGCCTGAGGCCCTGGGTTCGATTCCTCAGCACCACATAAGCAAAATGAAAAAAGCCGGAAGTGGCGCTGTGGCTCAAGTGGTAGAGCACTAGCCTTGAGCTGAAGAGCTGAGGGACAGCGCACAGGCCCAGAGTTCAGGCCCCACGACCGGACCCAAAAAAAAAAGGAAAAAGCTCAGTCTACTAGCAATCAAAATTATCCACTTTCTACATTTTATTCAGTTGTCAGGTAAATTTGTACAGGTTAAGTACACATATGATACATTACCAAATGCTTAAGAGAATGGAAATCAATGAAGTATGTGATATATATTACTTATTTTGTATAAATAGAATACATAATTTTAGTACTATGAATTGGGAATAAAGGATATAGAACCATGATTGAATTTGAGAACAGATAGCTGGCAAGATATGAATCTAAGTCAACTTATTGGCAGTGGCAATTGTAGTGATGATCATTTTTAGGAGGACTGAGAAGATTTGGTAAATTTAGTAAAAATTAAGGACAATGAGATTGTTGGTCTGGGATAGTGAGGGAAGATAAGAAATACCTCAATGTATTTGTAGCTGAAAGGAAGAAGTAAAGAGATTTAAAATAAGAGAACAAGGATGCAAAAGACTTTTTAGCACAGATTCATAAGAAGTTAGCATTTGTTCCAAGGAAAAGGAAGTTAAAGAGAATGAGTTCAGATGCTAATAAGGTATAAGTGAAGAAGTAGAACAAAATTCTATACAACTTTCATACTAATTAACTGCAAAATGAGAGGGAAGATCAAATTAGAAAACTATCATCTTCCATCCAAAAACATAAGAAAAGTGTCTTAGGGATAGTACAAGGTAAAAAGGGCAGGAAGTGGAAAGGCAAGTGAAGTGAAAGATGAATTGCTTCAGTTAGGACAAATGATAGGAAAAGATTCTACAAAAGAGTTAAGTGTGCTGACATGTAAAAATGATATTACAGAAATGAGCCAGGAAAAAGAAGTCCAAGGACTGAAGAGAAGGCTGGTTATTTAACAGGTCTTCACTATAATTTATTTGAGTTAAACAGAATTGAGCCAAGGAAATGAGCATATGTAGGCCTACATGTCTGAAGATGCACTTTGTGCATGTAAGCACATGTGTCTGGCTCCCAGGCTCTGATTATGTTAGAACAAAGACTTAGGGGTTATGAGGATTATGTATCCTAATCATCATGTGATAGAATAATAAGGTAATATATGATTAAGCTATTCCCATATGTCAATTCCCATGACCAAATCACTAATAATAAGCCCTTTAGTGTACTTATTGTTCCCATAATGGTGAATACTAGCAAATCCCTCACATTTCTGTAAATTCTTCCCAACTTGATTTCTCTATTATGTTGTTCTCCCTTTGTGCTCACATTGATCTGGCTACTCCTGGAATGTAAAATATTTAAGAAACTATATAGCCAAATTCCTCTCTTGCCTACTCTCTTATAAAATATCACTTCTTTGTACTATTTTACCCTTAGCATTTACTCTTACACTATTTTAAAGAAGAACACATAAAAATTAGAATACATTAAAACTGAAAGGAATTCGTAAAAACACTCACCTGGGGCAGATGCTACATGGGTCTGGGTTTGGACTTGCTCTATAGCTTGTGGCCTAATGTCAGATAAAACTTGATGATTGGAACTTGGATGTTCGACGAGTTTTACTGCAGCTAGTGCATCAGGGCCAAACATCTGAATATCCATAGAAACCAGACATACTAACATGTCTAAAGTAAGTAAAAAAAAATAGATATTAATCAGTAATACTACAAAACAGCGCCAGCTCTAAAGAATACATTTTACAAAGAACACTGCTTCAACTGTCAGGCCATAAATCACTGTACAAAGGAATTACCTGAATCTCCGAAAAACGACTTTAAGCTCCAATTTCTGAAAACTGATTTAGTAGTTCTGAAGTGAGAATGAGGTATCAGTAACTTTTCTGTTTTTATGGGATATTAGGATTTGAACTTGGGTCCTTATGCCTGCTAGCTAGATACTCTTATCACTGAGCCAGGCCTACACCGTGATTTTTTGATGATTATTTTTGAGATAGGGTCTGGCTTCCTGCCCCCTAGGTATCTAGACAAAATCTGCCTATGTCAGACTTCCCATGTAACAGGTATACCTTACCATGTCCAACTCTTTGTTAACACTGGGTCTTGAGAAGTTCTCTGCCCTAACTGGCCTCAAACCATGATCCTTTCAGTTTTAGCTTTCCAAGCAGCTAGAATTACTGGCCTGAGCCACTGTACCTGGCTAGAAAGTGACATTTTACTTTCTCAAAAATAACAGTTTAGCAAGATAAATTTATACTAACTCTGACTTTAATAATCTCTGAGTTAAATGCTAACATGATACACTTTATTATGTATGTTTATACTAACAACCTTTACAGATGTGAATTCACCAGCACCTCAGTAGAACTTAATGAAGCTTGTTCACTCAGCTTGTTGTTGAAGAATGACGGGCATGCATTTGAAAGCAAAAACTTAATGTCAGATATAGCTAATCCTGCTGGCTGCATGACAGACGTTTCTTACTCATCAAAAACAATCATAAAGAATAATACAAACAAATCTCTGAGGGGGAAATGACTTCTTAAAATTAAACAAAACATCCCAAATATCTGGAGTTTTTTATAGCACGGCATTAGATGTCTACTCTAGAAAGAATATAAAATATTTTTGTCTTATCTTACCTATGCTCTTTTCTACTTTTGCAATTTTTGTGCAAGCAACATCTCCCATTTCAGTGAGCATGTATAGCACCTCGAGCGTTGAGATTACAAGCAGCACGTCAGGTAAAGTGAGATGACAAATGATCTCTCTGTATGAATCTTGATCCACATATTCACAAATTAAAACACCATTATCTTCTGCCTTGCAAAGATTCCCCAAAATTTCCATGCCTGAAAAACATACATACATCATGTTTTTCTTTACAAACTGTGAAACTTTGTTCACTTCAGACAATGAAAAACTTAAAAGAGCACTCACCCCTCATTTTTAAAAATCTATCCCTTGACATTAGACATTTTGTGACAGTATGAAACATCAGGTGTGTAGTTTTGAAATCAACAGGGTCCAATAAAAGCTGAAAAAAAAAGAGCACTAAAGTTGAGATGATAGCTCCTTCTAAAGTTGGGTATTTTAAAATTCAAACAAGTAAACAAGACAATGTTGTATTACTTTTAAAATGTAATTACTGTGAGATTAGTCAAGCTACCTTTGAAACATCATTTTAAATATTTCTCAACACAAAGGTGTAATACTTTATACCACCACTCTTAGAAACAAATATGCATAGTCATTTAAAACCCAGTAGATATGGATAACTATATTAGAAGGCTATCATCTAAAATTTTAAAGTAAATGTTGACAAGTATAAAAAGTATTTTAAAGTACTGTTACATGCTTACCTCAGCTGCAATATTTCCTAATGTGTCAAGGCCTAATTGTCTTAAAGAAATAAAATGACTATGTGCAGAAAGTAACAGGAAACGAAGACAGGTACGATTAGCTGCCAAGAGCTTAACATTTCCCTCCTCAAAGGAAAGATTTCGCAAAATCACTGCAATCTGAAGTACCCGCTGTCCTTCAATATCATTAATGCCCAGCTTTCGAGGAGGATGAAATAAAGATTCCCAAATCCACTCTCCTGATGTACCTTCTACAACAAAAAAACACACATTTCACTTAAATTGACATTTCATTTAATATTACTGCTATTTTATAACTACATAATAACTTTACTTTCCTGGACTTACCATGAGATTTGTTTCTGTCAGAAATGAGGTCACGTACTTCAGTATCATCAACAATGTCTTTCCAAAACTGTAATGAGAAAGTATTACACTAAATGCCAATGATTTGAAGTTGTTCTATTATTGTAGAAAGTGTCATATATGTATTGTCACATATGTATTAAACTTAGTATTGAATCTTACACTATTTTAAAGAAAAAGAAAGCATAAGTACTAGAATTTGGTACAAAAGTATGACTTCCTATAGTTGCAGACTTTTATGCAAGCTTTTTTGTGTGGGCATTTTTTCCCAGGGGCTCATAAGTTGGAGGCAAGAAGACACTCTCAGGCCTCTAAAAGAAATGGGAACTTGAATTAATTTGGATGGGAAAAAATGTACAGCTTCATGATCATTAAATTTTAACTGAAGTCAACTATTTCTTTAGAATTCTCTTCAGGTCTGAGGAGTAAGCAGCCAACAATAGTAATATTAGCAGTACCTCTGACATTATCACTTACATGAAGAACAATGATCTTCCTTTCAATAGGTATGGTAAAATATCTAGAAATAGTATTTATGCAGATCAATACCGGGAAATTGTAGAAGGTATGAATTTCATCAACAAATGTACATTACCACAATATTCATAATCACAGACATTCACGAGACACTGTAAGTGGTAAAATTTAATAAAGCAGTTCTTTTAGGCGTTTTACACTAGTCTATAAGCTGTTTTTTGGCCCATAAAAGGAAAGAGATAAGTCAAAGTCCATCCATGTTTAATAGTCCTTTTCAGATTAAAAACCAAATTCTTTTATCTTGATATATATACCTCACATAAAATAAAGGTTTACTATGATGCTAACCTGCAACTTAAATACTAACAAAGAAACATAGAAATTATTATTTTGCTTTTTTATTCCAACGCCATGATTTTTAGAATCAAAGTGTTTTAGCATTTAATATCATTAGTTCAAAAGATATTCACAGGCTTAAAAAGACCACCAAAGGAATAATTTCACACATATAAAACCAATGATGAATTATACTTCCTAACAATAATAAAAGAACAAGGTACATGAACAAAACAGGGTTCAGTATACAAGAAAAAAGATAACACAGGGAAGTCAAGTAATAAATATGACAGGAATTGAAATGACCATACCCAGTAAGTTTAAAAAAACCAAAGACTGAGAATTTTGGCCCACAGAAATGAAAACTACTAACAATACTGGAACTTAAAAACAACTACTGAAGGAATCGATGGATGGGTTTAAAAAACTGATTACATAAAAATTAACACATAATTAGTGAACTGGCAGAGCAGCAAGAAAATATCAAATTTCAAATACAAAATGGCAAAAAGATGAAAAGAAAAACTATATGAGAAGCAAGGTGCCAGGGGCTTATGCCTAGAATCTTAGCTACTTAGGAGGCTGAGGTTTGAGAACTGCAGTTTGAAGCCAGCTGGAACAGAAGTCCATGAGACTCTTATCTCCAATGAACCACCAAAAAGCCAGAAGTGGAGCTGTCCAGTGGCACAGTGAAAGCCTTGAGTACAAAACTGCTCAGGACAGTGCCCAGAAAGGCTGTAAGTTCAAGACCCAAGATGGGCACAAAAAAAGAAAAAGAAAGGGGCCAATGTGATTAAAACAAATATGGAACAAGTAAAACATTTATAAAAATGCCTCAAGAGGTAAAAATAAATGTGAAGTTAATGGTTTAAGGAAACTCGTTCAGACCATGATGCAGTGATGGTACTGATATAATCTACTTACCATAAATTAATGTTAGGACAATTTATTTTCAGAGACTGAGCAACATGTAGTTGTCTATTAAAGTTGATTTAAGCTAGGACTCTTGATTTACAACACTAATCCTAGCTACTCAGATGGTAGAAGCAGGAAAATTGTAGGTTCAAGACCAACCCTGGCGAAGTTAATAAGAACCCCAAAGATGAGGGGCATAACACAAGTTGTAGAGAACTTGCCTAGAAAGGCTCTACCATCAGTACATTAAAACAAAACAAAACACACTGCAATTACTGAAACAAGAGAAAAATAAGGTAACCTAAAGCAATTTCCCAATTTCCACTTACACACTTATTACTAGACTGAGAGATTTAGACAGCGTTAGCAGCTGCTAAGATAAGGAACTTGATCAGGATCACCCAAGTTGAAGGAAGAATTTTGAGCAAATCTTCAATAAATGAGGGGGCTATGTAGAGACAGCTCCAAAAATCTAGAGGGACTGATTCTACCTGAGTACTAAACCACACATCTTTACTGGCTAACTCCACAATGCCTGGCACAAAAGTGGAGACAAATACTAAAGGGACCAGAGCGGAACAATTCCCAGGAAACAGAAACACATACACACATCCAGTTAATTCAATAGAAATCCCCACATGCCATTCCTATATGTGCTATTGCCTGATTCTTTAATGCCTCCTTTTGTTAAGGTTTGTGGTGCACTGGAAGAAGTATCAAAAGGTAGGACTTTGTAGGCAGGGGACTGTGGTACTCAGGTCTCTTCCTCATCCTTTTTGTTTTGAGGCCATGAGCTGAGTGGCTCTTCTCCACCATGTACTCCTGCTAGCACATAGCGCCTCACCTCAGGCCCAAAGCAACAGGGCACTCAATGGTGACTGAAAGGCTTGCAAATGTGAACAAAAACACCCTTTTTCTTTCTTTTTTTTTTTTTGTCGGTCATGGGGCTTGAACTCTGGGCCTGAGTGCTGTCCCTCAGCTCTTCAGCTCAGGGCGAGCGCTCTACCACTTGCTACAGTGCCACGTCCGGTTTTCTAGTGGTTTATTGGAGATAAGAGTTTCAACGGACTTTCCTTCCTGGGATGGCTTTGAACTGCGTTCCTCAGATCTCAGCCTCCTGAGTAGCTAGGATTACAGGCGTGAGAGCCACCGGCGCCCGGCAGCCCTTTTTCTTTACAAGTCAATTATCCTAGGGATTCTGTTTCTTTCTTCATTCCTTTTATCTTTTTCCTTTCTCCCTTTGTTTCTGGAAAGAAACATCCAAGGCTACACTATGCTGACAAGAACTTTACTACTGTGTTAGCCCAGCATTTTCTTACAATGACATAAAACACACACAAATTCTCATAACAAAGCCATAATCAACTATGAGGATCCACAAAACAACTAAGAGCCTCCCAAAGAAAAGTTCAAGGTTCTTGGAGAGTGGGAAAAAGGCGGATACTTGATTTTGAAAAAGCAAAAACAAAAGTAAAAAACACTCTCCCCCCCACACACACACATACACACACACACATACACACACACACACACACACACACACAAAATGCTGACAGTGTGAGGAAAAAAGAAACCTTCCATATACACTGTTGGCAGGAATGGAAAACTAGCACAATCACTATAGAAAGCAGGATGGAAGTTCCTCAAAAAACTTAAAATAGATCTACTTTATGATAGCACGACTGAGCCTATAAGCAAAAGAAAGAATATAGAAGAAAGACACCTGCCCACCTGTGTTTATTGCAGCACTCTTCTGGTCACAATATCTAAACTGTGCAAACAGCTGAGATGTTCAACAATCAAGAGGTAAAGAAATTATCTTTACACACATATTTATATACATTGGAATATTACACAGCTAAAATGAAATTTTATTATTTGCTAGAAAATGAATAAAACTGGAGATTATTAGTTGCTCAAAATAAGCCAAGCTCAAAAAGCCACAAATGATCAAAATGTAGTAAGCTGATTTGTTGAACTGAAACCCCTTTGTACAACTACTTAAGGATTTTAATTTGTTGTTGTTGGTGGTTGTGGGGTTTGAACTCTAGGCGATGTCCCTGAACTCTTCAGCTCAAGGTGAGCACTGTAGCACTTGAGCCACAGCACCACTTCCAGTTTTCTGGTGGTTAACTGGAGATAAGTCTCACGGACTTTCCTGCCCAGGCTGGCTTTGAACCGTGATCCTCAGATCTCAGCCCCCAGAGTAGCTAGGATTACAAGAGCGAGCCACCAGTGCCCTGCCCTAAAAAATACTTTTTTAAAAAGCACATTTTTTTGCTCATTTGTAAAGTCAGACCTAGAGAATGTGGGGTGTGTGTGTGTGTGTGTGTGTGTGCAGAGAGAGAACCCCATTATTTATGGGCAGTTTGTACAAGAAAGGGAGGGTGGGGGTAAAGAATGATGGTGAATAATCTCACATACATTACAAATGTGTTATGAAGATAGTCTAAGGAATGTCAAGGAATGGTGTTGAGGGGGTTGGAGAAGCAGAGAAAAATACTTGAGAAAGCTACTCTGATGGTGTGTGTGAGGCATTTTACTAGGAGGAGGAGCAAACAGAGAGGAAGAATAAGGAACACTGTCAATGTAAGCCTTTTGTATACAGGAATATAGAGTAATAAAACCTGTTCAAATTGTTGTAGAAGGGAGGGAGAAAGGTAAGAGAGATAGAAGGGGTGAGCCTGATCAAGATACATTGTGCTATGTATGGAAATGTCACAACAAACCAGCACCTTGTACAACTAATGTATGCTTGTTTAAAAAAAAATACATTAAAAAAATGTGAACATAACCAGGAAAGGTTAAAAATATTTTAAACTAAAATATGACCTGAACTGAAAAAACAGCTCAAGATTGGCTTAACTGAAGATGAAAGCATAACAAAAAATGATGCATAATAATGTACATATAAATCAAAAGATTCAGTAACAATGAACAGAGAGCATCAGTGACCTGATCAGTAATATTATGATCTAATATATGTATGAATGTAGTAAAAATAAGAGAGGAATAAAAACCTTTGAATAAATAATTGCCAAATACTTTCAAATTTCATGTAAAATATCAAGCCATAGGATTCAAGAAGATAATAAATAATCCCCAGGTAGACAATCAATAAAAATCACAATAACATACATTACAATGAAATTAAAAATCAATAATATGGGGTACATTTTTAAAGCAATCACATAAAGCATTTCACATAGAATAAGAAAGTTGATTACTTGCCCGTAAATGTGAAGAATGAGATGTTATGGTTAATGTGCTGAAAACTTTTTTTTTTTTTTTTTGGTCATGTGGATTGAACTCAAGGCCTGG